TCACAGGAAGGTCAACGAAACGTTTGGGCGTACAAGGAGAAACTTTTGCCAGGAGTAGCGCCGATTCAAATACCAACGCGTTAACGTATCTACCAGTAGGACGAAGAGAAAAGAGCTGACAGCCCGCGACAAGTGTCAACGTCTAGGAATATTTGGAAATATATGGAGAAGCTTGTGTTACGAAACTAAATCTATTTCTCTACCTCATCGGCCCTTTTCAGGGCCATTAATTCTGACCAAAAGTGGTATATCGTCATCATCCACACCACATTCATTCATTCATTCATTCATCCACAGCACACACGTAGAGAAATCCCTCCTATACAGGAACATCGTGTTTTGGAATGGGTAAAAGTATACGTTAACCATAACACAACCTCAGAAGGGACACAAAGTAGAATGGACAGTTTTTTTTTTATTTTTATTATACTTTATTTGTCGCTCACGACATGGGTCAAGAATACATCAAGGAGCTCACATACAGTCGCGGTAGAATGACATTGCTGCTGTATTACTTCAGGACGTGGTAGCCGTATTTTTTCATTAGAGTCTGTGCCGACACCCAGTTCTTGCTGTACACAATCTCAGTGCTTTTATGCGGCAACGCTGCAAACTGTATTAGATAGAATGTTTTGCCAGCACGTTTTGCTTCTTTGATCACACACTGAGGAACATCACTCGGGTGATATGTTAGTGGAATGGTGCAGTCTCGATAAAGCGTCCATTCTTCCTCATCACCGCTATCGTAGCCATGTTCACTTTCATCAGATGAGTTCATGTCCACCGAACCATCGTTTTCAGAATCGCTACCGCTATCCGTTTCCACCGTGGAGTACTCATCTGAAGAACTGATCATAGAACCATCTTCCTCCGCACTATCTTCTTCCGACATCATTGACTCATCGGCGGTGACGTCGGCTGAATCGATTGGTTCCGTATCATTATCATCTTCGTCTGTTGTTTCATTAGATGACATATCGTCAAAGATATCACGGGGCCTTTCAGGATCTGTCTCGGGGTCCCTGTGTTCTTCTCCCGTAACCGTTTCCGATTCGACACCATGTACCCCCTGACGATGTCGAACAAGGTTGGCTTTTCGGCTAAACTCCCTACCGCAGATATCGCACGCGTGAGGCATTGTCAGCGGTCTTTAGAGGAATAACGTTCTATACTAAAACGATGTGCTTTTCAACGCTCAATATCACGTGAGTCACTCATTTCACGTGGTTGTTTTGAAGTGGCGAGCTGGGATTCTCCCACTGAATATTGAAACAGGGCGATATTCTGCTTTTCCTGAAGGGGATAGAATTTGCTCATTGTGCGATTTAGGTGAGATAGAAAATGAGCTTCACTCATATTTTATTTATCAAGCTTGGAAAAAACGCAAAAGCTTCATCTATTCATAAATTTCCTCTCTGTATTTGACCTTATGTACTTCTGACCTTATGTGCTTTTGAGTTGCATTTATTTTCTTTTGACAATTTGAGTTGAATTTGTGCACTTTTTGACTCTTATGTACTGATTATGTTACGTTCAACTTTGTATTAAGTTCATTAATTTCATTTGATGTACACACACACACACACACACATACACATTTTATTTTCGACACTCAATACATTCACATCTGTGGTGGTTGTGAAACCGATATAGCTCTTTTTGTGGTTTTGGTGGCCCTGAAAAGGGCCGGCCCTGAATTTCAGAGCCTGTTTAGTTATTTCTACATAGACTTTGAAGCCGCTATCACTAAAAACTTGACCTCTGGGAAGTCGCGTTTCAGCACGTCAATGATATAATCATAGTCTAGCTGGGTGTAGGCAAAAAGTGGCGTGTAGTAGTCACCCCAGATGGAGAAGCTAACCATATTCCAAATCTGGTCTCGGAGTCGGTAGAGAATCTGCTCGTGGTTAGGCGTGTCTTGTGGGATGAAGATCGTCCCATTCCAACGCTTTCCAGGCTTGATAAATTCGAACCACGGATCCATCGAGATGTCCATTATAGATACTCACGGGAAAGTTGAATTCTCGCGTTCGGTCCTACGTTTATAGCCGACATCGTGTCACTGCGCGCTTAATTACTTGACCAATCACAACCACACACACCTAGACGGTCGACCAAACACCGCGGTGCACACCCAGGCCTTCCAGTTATTACAATTGTCTCACGTGAGATAATTAAACTTGTCTGCTACATAAACATACTTTAACAAGTTTAGTTCAATTACAAACAGGCACGGCAGCTTATGCATGACACATTTTCTCCGATAATCAGTGTGTGGTTGTCTTGTCTCCGGGCAGATTAGTTTATGCAATGTTTTTCTTGACCGACGTTGTGTAACCCAGTCTGAATAATACACGGCTGTCACCCGTCCCAGACCAAGACGAAAGAAACAGTTTCAAAAAAAAGGTTTGAATTTACACCAGTTAAAATACCGTATACTGTCGTGGATAGAGAATGACCGTCTGCACTGCCACTTACATATAATGTATAAGGTCTTTGATCTGGATTAGCGACCCGTGTGTTAATTAACTCTTAGCTTTTTTACGCCACACTGTTATTATGACAGTTTACGCTTGCCAAAATATTAGTCAGGCTGTCGGACAAAATTATCCGCTACGCATTTAATACATTTATAATGTAATTCTACGATAAGTCGGTAAGTACCTAATTATACAATTACCGCCAGGCATCCGGAAGAGTCCATTCCGCGTCATCGAGTTGGTTTTTGATGTCATTATTTAGAAATGCCTTCAATTCTTTAAAATTGCTTGTCTAAGAAATTTCATAATTTGGAAATATTTTGAACATTTTTTCCACACTCTATCTACTTCCCTGGTTTTGTAAAACGTTTGATATATTCCTGATGTGGAATGTGATGTTTCCAATAGTTTCTAAATATGTATAAAATCATTCTATCATTTTCTACTATTATTTACAATTATTTCTAAAATTTTGTAAATAGGTCAGTGTGCTGGGAAGAAAGTAATTCACATATCCATGTAAAGTACAGGGTAGTCTGCCTGGGCAACATGCATGGGTGGCTTACAACAAAAGAGCCATTAGCGATCCTGGAGCTCAGACATGTTGCTGCTTCGTCGTGACTATTTCGCACTCGGTAAAATCTTCCCGCGCTCCCCCATCTTATATACAATACCGCACAATGAACGACCAATCCGATAGCTACACGTCATCGCCATTGTATTCATCATTACACATGTCCAGAAGTGCCAGCTGGTTCAATATTGATCAACCCTTAATCCGCTTTGCATAGCTAATCTCATTAACTAATCATTATTTACAGATAATATTACTAATCCGATAACCATAAACACACCTCCAAACAGCGCCACCTTGCGGCGGCTTATAAACTGCACCTGGGCCAATTGGGCCACCTAGGCCTAGTTACTACTCACAGGTACATTACAATGACGCATCAGGCACCACTCAAACTCGCAACGTTAACACAACGTTACGTATTTTCTGTTATGAGGTACCGATGTATAAAGAAGACTTCTAGTCGCTGAAAGAAGGTTGTGACATCTGCCCAAATCTCACCACTATGGCCCCCTAATCCTCCTATCCAAATGATTTTCTTCGCATCTTTTATCTTTTGGTCTGGCTTAGTTGTCGAAGATCTTTCATACAAACTGTACAAAGGACGGACTTTCTATGATAAAGTATCCATGTAATCTTCTGGCCGCTTAGCAGCCAGACTATTATCACGTGGGCGTAAGTCAAAACGGAGAAAAAGCAGATATTGGTAAACATCAAACATCTGGAATATTTCATGTTGGGTAAGCAAGAGCATCAAGAGGAATGAATGAATTCTATAATGAATAAAACATGTTCGAGAAGGTTTGCACGGCCTTCCTGTCAAATATTTGACCACCAGAACGGAACCTGAACCAAAGGGCATATTTTTTTTGTGTACGTACTAAATATTCTAGCAAAAATTATTTTTAAGAGTAAATATAAAGTATTTTGCTACGCATGTTTGAATGTCATTTGAACGGAATAATAGTCTATTTTTTTCATTGTTTTGCGTGGGACGACAGAGGTTCCTGCCGTGTCATTGTTACGTACGTGTGCAACATTGATATAGTGAAATAGATATGTTCGCCATGTCAGTGTCAATGGTCGATCATGAAAGACCCTAAAACACTGTCATAATTACCATCTGTCTTACTGACAAAATCAGATTTGAATGATACGGAGAGCAATAATTGTATCCACGACTTCCATCTAAATTTCAAAAACATCTTTTCATGTTTCTCACAGGATGTACAAAGAACGAACTCCTTCTGATAAAGTAATCCACATGATCTTCTGGCAGCTTAGCAGCAAGACAATTATTGTGGGCGTATGTAAAAGCAACTAGCGGTAATCTTTTTTCAATACTACATTTGCGTACTAAACAAGCTGGTGGCAAAAAGATGGTGCCATAAGGTGGAAAATAAATAATTACGATTAGTAAAGAAAAATTAAAAGTTAAAAATGTTAAACTACGCTTGAATACTGGTTTTATCACTTTTTTTTGCAAATCTTCTAGCAATAACCGACAACGTGTTCACATCTGTTTCGGTACTTGCATTTTTTGTTCCTTGATGTAAACCTTTGTTGGTAAGAAAGGAGTGTTGAAAATTTTCTTCTCTTGCATAACGTTTCCCTTTCCTTAATTGTATCGCGTGGGAAATTACAGAGAATAATTTTCGTTCAATGTTTGCATGTAAAATCTACGATTTGTCCAGAATTTAGTCTAAAATTCAACATGCATTTTCACACTGTTTGCCATTTCCAATATTTCACATCCGAACTGGCTGAGGTCTCAAAGCATCGTTTTGATGTCATTGTTCTTACTGAGCGGCTTCAATATTCTCTAGTCTCAGATTACGGGATCTGGGTTCATATTAATTTTTGTCTAGGACCATGCGTGAGTCGACAACCGGCTTGCCAGGAGAAAGACGTGTTTTTTTTGGTGTCCAGAACCCTACAGTGTCATCATGTCGGAAGAAGAGCAACAGTCTCAAGCTGGTGACACTAGTAAGCGTGAACAGTTTGGTTATCATATAAGATTGGGCAATTTTTTTTGTTTCTGAGGTTTGAGAGAAAAAAAAAGAAATTCAACCATTTTATTTGCCATTAGTGCCCCGTAGTGAATTGCTGTCTAAAACTTAGATATTTCTATTCCTTGTATTTCATTACTAATTTTTTTTCAGTGTACTTAATGATTTTTTTTATCATTTTAAAATGATTCTTGCTCAGAACTAATTATTTCAATTTTTCTTTATTTCTCTCAGGTGCCAGACCCATGCGGCGGCCTGAGTCTTATTGGCTATCAGATGCGGACGCCGCTGCAAGAATACCCAACCCTATGTACGCCTCCAATGCAGGTAAATCGTCTACAGAGCTAGAATTTATCATTTCCCTAGTACTTTTACTGGTTTTAATTTTCGGCAGATAACTAATTACTTTTTCTTTACTTGTCTCAGGCACCGCACCCATGCAGCAGCCTCAGTCACTGCGATCACGTGCGGACGCCGCTCCCAATATACCAAACCCTATGTACACCTCCAATGCAGGTGATTACGGTCTTCGTTGCATTTTTGCATCTTCTACCTTGTATTAAATGCCTCAAATTATCCATGGATGGCAGCATTGAATTTCAGTTTTTTTTCTGTTCTTTAGGGGCCACACGTATGCGGCAGCCCCTCTCGTATTGGCGATCACTTGCGAACGCCGCTGCGAAAATGTTCAACCCTATGTACGCCTTTAGTTCAGGTAAATCGTTTATATTCTCTATCTTGTTTTATTTTGTATGTTGCAGGCCCAATATTTTTCACAAATGGCTATATTACGTCTTTGTTTTGTTTTTTTCGCCCAGCCAACCCACCGATGGACCAACCCCAGACTGATTAAAAGGCACGTGCGAACGACAATGAAAACACACCCGACGCCACGTACGCCAACATACCAGGTAAAACGTTTGAGGTTTCTCTCTTTTCTAGTATGGCCATTTTGATTTGATTATATGGATGACATCATCTGTGAAACCCAAAACTGATGCGCCCGTGCGAATAAAAAAAAAGTTTTGCAAAAAAAAAGTTGCTTTCACTATGAAATCTACGTGGTCATGAAGGTTGAACAAATGGCACAGAATATGTTATGGCGAATAATCTACTCTTCGAATTCATTTCTTTACATTTTTGTCTTTTTTCCTTTGATTTTGGCCTTCTACGACATTGGTATCGTTTCTAAATGTTTTCCTTGCAACTCATGGTATATTTTTGCTCATTTAGCAACTGTTTTGTACGATTTACAGTATGGTTGAAAACTTTTTTTTTGGAAAAGGTCGAAAATTCATGCGCGCGCGGATGTCATCCATATAATCAAATCAACATGGCCTATCCTGTTTTTGTATTGCTTTGCTCACCAAAAATTAAGATTTCTTTTAAGTAGTTATCGTGACTGGCCTGTGATACTATTCGCGTATTTGGGTAGGTTTTTGTTGAGAACGTTCTAAATCTACATGTAGTTTGTCAAGATAACTCCAACAGTTTCGTAATGTAACAAAAGCATTAATTTTTAATCACGAAACCACTGTATACATGCAGGTCCAAAGAACTATTTTTCACCTTAAATTGCTTAGGTCACATTTCCAAACCGGGCCCGGCCGGGCAGTTTTGCCTAAGAAAAATCAACATTTTATATTATCAATATACTAGTATGAAAATAGCTGCCATTATTACCTCCATGAAATGTGTCATGGAGGTTATATTTACCTTCGCCAAGAAGGTTATGTTTTCAGGGGCGTTCGTGTGTGTGTCTGTCTGTAAACACGATAACTTGAGTAGGTCTTGATGGATTGTCTTGATACTTGGTAGGTGGGTAGGGCTTGATGAGACCTCAAAATGATTAGATTCTGGGCCACCTGGCGGCTTGTCATGGTACTGCAGCAGAACTTCCGGTTTTGATATCTCATGATCCAGACATGCTAGTGTGACGAAATTTGGATGGTAGATAGCTCTTGTGCTGGGGATAAAGTGACACGAGTCTGAGCCCCCTAGTTGCTTGCTCTAGAATTGCAGGGGGGTTTAATGGACAAATATTTAAAGGGGGATAACTCAAGAACCGATTGATGGATCATCGTGATTTTTGGTATGTAGGTAGCTTGAGTGATGCTTGACATAATGATATTACAATTATGGAAATATGGATGTAATTTGCATAATTAATGAGGAAATTCTATTTATCAGCTGCATTCCATACTAGGAAGTTCAAGCTTGTGACATATGTTAGTAAGAATGAGAGAAACACAGGCAGATATCAATTATGCAAATGAAGACTTAATTTGCATAATTAATGAGAAAATATTATAATTGCATAGTGGTAACTGCCTGGAATTTTATACTTGGGGTGTTTGAAAGTTAAGTTAAGGTGAACATAATTAAACATAACTTATTCAAATAAGGACCTCATTTGCATAATTTATGAGAAAATGTCATGGCATTCTTTGTTAAGATAAGACTGTCTTTTGGTGGAGAAAAGATCAACAGATATAATTCATGCAATTGATGATTCTATTTGCATAATTAGGGGGATTAATATATAATTTCTTAATCATAAAAGCTAACATCATTTGGCGAAGGTATGAGATCGTGGAACTCTAGTTTCAGTTGCGTTTATCTGTCCGTCTGTCTGTTGGTCAACAAGATAACTCAAGAACGCCTGGATGGATTTCTTGGTACTGCAGCGCAACTTCCGGTTTTGATATCTCGCGATCTAGACATGCTAGGGTCCTGAAATTTTAAGGTAGCTCTCGTGCTTGGGAAGAAGTCATATGAGTTTGGGCCCCCTAGCGGCTTGTTCTGGAACTGCAGGGCACTTTATGCAAATGAGGACGTTATTTGCATAATTAATGAGGAAATTCTATAATTACAGTGTTTTACAATCTCGCGATCTGGACATGCTAGGGTCATGAAATTTTGATGGAAGGTAGCTCTCGTGCTTGGGAAGAAGTCATATGAGTTTGGGCCCCCTAGCGGCTTGTTCTGGAACTGCAGGGCACTTTTGGCGAAATGTTTAAAATCCAATAAGTCCAGACAGGAACAACATATTTTCATTATTTTTGGTGTGTAGGTAGCTGAGAGAGAGATGTACATAATTAAACGCAAATTATGCAAATGAGGAATTTATTTGCATAATTAATGAGGAAATTCTATAATTACAGTGTTTTACATTATACTACTTACATACATGTAATGTATGTAACCTATGGCAGGCGGAACTTCAACAGATACTAATAATGCAAATGATGACCTAATTTGCATAATTAATGCAAAAATTCTATGATTTCGTAATGGTGAATGATGATAATGTTATACTTGGGATATCTGTAAGTTAATCAAAAGTTAACATACATCACGATGCATATATCATGTTAATGCAGAGGTCATTTGCACAATTAAAGAAGAAATTTACATTTACATATCAAGATCATATTTCATGAAGGTATGAGGTCTCGGAATTCTAGTTACTTTTTCAAAACGTTTTTGTACTTTCTTGTTAGGATAAATAGTTTGGTGTTCGTTTTGTATGTTGAAGACCCAATATTATTCAATAATAACTATATTGCATTTTTTTTTCGCCCAGCGGCCGACCCACCGATGGACCAACCCCAGACTGATTACCAGGCACGTGCGAACGACAATGAAGACACACCCGACGCCACGTACGCCAACATACCAGGTAAAACGTTTGAAGTCTCTCTCTTTTCTTGCTTCCTGTTTTTTTCAGTCCTTTGTGATTGTAACCTCACTCAAGCTGATTCTTTCTTTTAAGATAGTTACCGTGATTGGTCTGTGATACTACTCGCGTACTTGGGGTGGTTTTTGGTGCAGAACTTTAATAAGTAGTTTGTCAAGAGTACTCCACAGTTTCGTAATGTACCAAAAACCTTATTTTGAGCTCGAAAGAAACCACTGTAAAGTTGCATGTCCGAGGAACTATTTCTTTATCTAGTCTATAATGCTGATGTCACGTTTCCAAACTGGAACCGGGCCGAAAAGTTTTGATTAGCAAAAATCATATCAATGATATACACAAATAGTTCCCATTATCAATTTTCAATAAAAAAAACTTTTCTGGACTTTCTGACTGCTGTTCAGGTAAATCACTCACCCTGTTTTTGTGTATGTAAGGCCCAATATTTTTCACAAATGACTACATTACATCTTTGCTTTTTTTTCGTCCAGACGACCCACCCATTGACCCACCCATTGACCCACCCATTGACCAACCCCGGACTGATCACCAGGCACGTACTAACGACAATGAAAACACACCCGGCGCTACGCATCCCACCAGACCAGGTGAAATGTATTAAATTTGCATAAGTAATAAAAAATGATTCAATTTCTTTGCTTTTCATAATAAAACTTAAATGCATATAGAATAAGAAGAACTTTATTGCACGACAATTGCACATGGTACAATGTATGGCAAACTACATAAAGAGAGTAGCAGACAATAAAATGTGTTGAACAAGTCCTAATGTCGAACTAGAAAGGCAAATATTTGCTTTGGAGCAAATACAGCGATGGGTTCACCACATTTTACGACATGGCAGGGAAAGAATGAGAAACACAAGGGAAAACAATGATTTACATTGATATAACTATAATATGAAGTAACATACGACTAAAACAACAGTTGGATAGCTATTCCCTACTTTATTGGTTAGGATCTTTAATTGCATAATGCAAACTGTTGATTCTCAAAATAAAAATAACGTTCATGCCCCGCATTCCAATGCTGGAGCAGGAAAGCTTGAAATACCTACCAAAAACACTTGAATACAGACATACTGTCAGTATGGAAATGCTCTGTGCAGGTGTTAATCAAGTTAAATCCCAACAGCCAATCAGCAAGAAATGCTCTGTGCAGGTGGAAATGCTCTGTGCAGGTGTTAATCAAGTTAAATCCCAACAGCCAATCAGCAAGAAGAATAGAGGAAAGCTGCATGCCTATTGGTTGATGCCCTGCATTCCATTGTGATGACTCATGTCCAAACGTGGTAAACATGGCACACTAACACAGTAATACATTTGCTATAACACAGCCAAAAAACTCAAATAAAACCATTCTAAAAGCCTGTATCACAAAAATTAAAAAAACGCCTAGGGGCATTTGCCCACTGTACCTCCATACCAAATTTCAGGACCTTAGGCCCTAAAATGAAGAAGCTGAATCCATTTAAAAAATGGCAGGAGAAGAAGGAGGAGGAGAAGGAGAAGGAGAAGAAACACCAGAAAAAGCAATATGGTTTCACCTCACCACTTCGTGGTGTGGTGAACCCATACTAAAACCTAACAAATCTACATCATAATTATTCAAATAATAAGGGATAGCAGAAGTCTTTGATAAAGTGTAACAATCGAGTGTGCTTATCACAAGTTTCGGAATTTTTTCTAATAACAAAGCATTCCTTTATATATTTACCTATTTTTGTTGGGACCATTACATGTAAAGCTATATTCAAATCTGGCTCTAACATCGAGACTCTTGAAATCTATTGTACTTGATTCGAGAAATGTAAATAGCTTGTTACGTATAACATCATATTTGGTACATTCCATAACAAAATGAAATTCATTTTCTATATGCTTTGGACAAAATGGACAGAACCTTGGTCAGGGGCTATATTGTAATATCATAGAATATGTGATGTATGGCAGGTAGAACATTAACAGGCGCCAATTATGCCAATTAGGGTCTGATTTGCACAATCAATGCACGATGATGTTATTTTTCCCTAATGGTAAATTAAGGGTATTTCATACTCGTGGCATGTGTTCATTTGTTCAAACTGAGGATCACTAGTACTATTCGTAAATGTTGACGCGGGCAATTACCTGAGCGAAGAATCTTTTTTTCCTACCAGACGGGGCGTGTCCGGGTGGAGCGAGCGGCCGCCGTGATGTCTGTAGCTTCCTCCGCGCCCACCGCAGTTGCCTGGCAGCCGGCATCGCCGTGTTGCTTGGCCTGTGCGCCGTGGGACTCGCCCCTCTGACGTTCAGCAACAAACAAGTAACATTCTAGTACCACAAATCTTGTTGTTAAGCTGTTTTTCTGGTTCACATTCTGTTCTAGGGGGGTATAAGAAAGAATATTCTGCAGTTTTCGTAAGCTTGGTTCTTACGTTCGGTATTTTGACGTGCGTAAATACGTTTGTAGGAAATTTCGCACTTGTCACGCGCCATACACCAACTGGCCACCACTGTCAACGCCTTAAAACGCGATCAAGATGACGTGCGCCAACTTTCCGCAAGTGGTGACGCACTCCAAGCAGCTGAGCTGGAGAAACTCAAAATTGCCGTGGAGCAACTTTCCCAGACAAAGACGTGTGGTTCTGAAGGCAAGTTATCTTGGTTAAGAAGTGACATAATTCCTACAGGTTACATTTTTGCCGCGCGCTTGGGCAACCCAGGATCTTCACATATTTTCCCCAGGCGCCTCAGAGAGGAGAGGTCACATTTTTTCTAAAAAAACTCTGTCATAACTACTGGAGGCTACACGTGTAAACAAGTTGATCTGTGCGCAATTATAGCTAATCAGAGCAGTCAAATTAGTTGTTAAATTTCTAACGTTTCCTGTTTGCACTTATAAATTTACATAGGTACATTATGCTACGTAACAATATGTTATAATAACAGTACACTACACCGTGTACCTCACCCAACAACACAGACTCCGACAAGCCACAAGACTGTCAGGACATCCTTGACAACGACGAGACCACGCCCAGTGGCGTGTACATGGTTTATCCACGGGACAACCTGGGCGGCTTCAACGTCTTCTGTGATATGGACACGGACGGAGGCGGCTGGACGGTAAGTCTGGTCAACTATAATTTGTCGATGCGAAATACAGCTGCATTTGTGGGTATAATTTTTTTTATTTTATTGAGAAGTTTTGTTTAAAGGTATATATGTTATCTTTTTATACCACTAGAGTAGGATGGCAGCACGTTGGTGGGGGATTGACAGACAGAATGAGAAGATGTTAAATGTCTCAGAGGTTGAAGGGGTTGACATGGCGAATTCAGCAAGTCGAGAATTTAGTCTCAATCTCGGGTTTTGTTGTTGCTCTCAAAGTTATTCCAGAGACGCCAAGACGGAACTGTGGACTTCTACCGGGGCTGGGCGGACTACATTACCGGCTTCCCTTCCAACCTGAACGGCGAGTTCTGGCTGGGGAATGACAACTTGTACCGACTGGCTGTGCAGAAAGGCTACCAGCTCAGGGTGGATATGGAGGATGCGGAAGGAAACACGGCGTACGCGGCTTACGACACGTTTGTCATCTCACCTGAATCACAGAACTACAAGCTCCACATAGGGAATTACAGCGGTACTGCAGGTAAGGTTGTGGTGTGTTCTCCTATCATGGCATCATAGACGTGTGCAAATAGGCAACATGGCTTTGTGAACTTATTTCAATTTTTTTCAAACTCAATCAAAACTGCAAAACTGACAATTTTACTATATATATTTATTTAACATGTTTGACATGTTTTAACATGTTTGACATGAAACGGATTCTTTGCAGTATTGTCAAAGGAATAGCTACTGCCAACACGCATCAACAAAAAGAATACCTCGTCTTGTTATGGAGAGTGAATGTCTGTTTTTGTCACAGGAGACAGCTTGACGTACCATGACGGGAAACCATTCAGTACCAAGGACAGAGATAACGACGGCAGCTGTGCTCAGTTGCACAAAGGTGCGTGGTGGTACAACAGTTGCTACCGCTCCAACCTGAACGGCCTGTACCTCGACGGAGTCAACTGGCGCCACTGGAAGGGTTATAACTACTCCCTGAAGCGCACTGAGATGAAACTCCGACCAGCTCCATAACGTCAAACAATGTGAATTTTTAATCTCCTACGAACCATACATGGTTTGCAGTCTGCAGTGTTTGTGCTATTTTTCCTGCACTTTTCTTGTGATTTTTCTCTCATTTTACATGAGCATGGCTCTAAGGCTAACATTGGGGGTCATGTATTGCTGTATGTTACTAGTTGTGAAATGAAAAAAAAAAGAATGGAATGAAAAAGAAAAACGCAGTTATAGCTTTTTAAAAATATACGTAAAGCAATCCTTACGCTGTTAAAGGTTGTCATTCCTATAAAATGTTGTCATTTTAATAAAAATTGATAGTCATTATGCTATAAAGGTTGTCATCTCAGATTGCTTGTAAGATACTTAATGTATATTCCATAAAAATATTTTTGTCCTCATCTGAAAATACAAGAATTGACTTGATCTTAGGACAACTGTTACAGGGAATGCAGTAAAACATTCAATGATCTTTGTTCTGACAGTGGTATTGAGACAACTTGAGCTTCAGCTTGCAAGAAAGATTGTAAAAATATTGTCTTATTGTATTTAAAAAAAGTCTATAGATGTGCCTAGAGTTATACTGTTTTGGTATTGGTGCTGTCACAAAAGAATGTTTCTGTATCATTTATTTTATGATAGAAAGTGTGGGCTTTTGTATTGAACTCTTAGGAGCTGCTATGATATCAAACAGATTGTATATTTTCAGAACTAGAGTCATGATAATGATATATGACAACAGGGCTCGAAATACTGGTAGTATATTTCACTGCCACGCACAAGTAGGAAAAAGTTAATAATACAGCAGTTTCATCATTTTGGCAAATCACTGAATAGCAAAGTTCTTAGTACACAGTTAAGTGCTCATACGAGTACCTGTTTGGAACTGCATTCTTCACAGTACAACAGCGCCACCTAGCTAAAGTGAGAGGTACGACATGTAGTACCAGACTGTCGGTTATGTACAAAGAACTTTGTTATCCAGTTCCTAATGTATTTATTAGTCTTACAATTATTTTCATTGTAACTGGTTCTGTGAAAAATGAAATCTTGGTACACCAAAAAGGGTCTAATTGACTATCTGTTCCATATAGCCAGTATAACCCCCCCTTTGGCGTAACACATCAGCTTCGCAGGCACGTGGCGCAGCAGCAGCTGGCTACATTACACTGAACGACTTGTTACACCTAACCTTTGAACATCCAAATCCACATATTGTTTAAAGCTATGCAATGACAATGCCCTTACTGTACTTCCACTCTGCGATAGTTCTAGGAAAGAATTTGTTTTTTAACACCTCATTTCATTTCATTTCATTCAACACCTCAATCCTTGGTTGATAACTCTGGTACTTAAATATTAAGGCAAGGCTTTTTCTTGTTCTCGTCTGGGCTGGTATTAGGCTCTTAATAGTTGGGACATCCACCAGTTTATTAGTCATTAATCACATCATGCATAGTCTGGACATTTTTCCTCTGTCTTCCAGTGACACCCAGTGTAGCTTTCTTTTCATTTCTAGCACCCCTTTCATAGTTGTTCATGCACTGTTGTTCAATGAGTTTGCAGGATATGCAGGTCAGTGAAACAGGTCTGTAGTTGCTGAGGACCGCTCTATCTCCTTTTTTAAAAAAATGGCGCATATATTCGAATTCCTCCAGAATAGAATTGGAAAAGAACCTAAAAGATTGAAAGGTAAATAAATTTTAACAAAATGCAAAATAATTATCCATAAAAAGATACTTGAGTGGAAGAAAAAAAAGAGAAAATATTACTAGTAGTAGTACATGTATTAGTGATTGGTTTATTTCTCACATTAAAACTTGCCGCCGCCGCATTCACGTCATCTCACCAAACCCCTCATGCCACGTTATTCTTCCAAATATAAGCTTACTAAGCCAGACTAATCAAGGTATTATTTTGTATATTCATAATTTTTGCCACAGTTAGTACACAGTTAATACAGTACGGTGAAATGTACGAGCAGGCAGAGGCTGTCCGGCCTTCTTTCTCCGGCCCCAGCAGCGGCCACACCAGCGGGCCGCCCCAGCCCAGTCCCGTCCATCAGGGTGGTTCACGCGGGCATGTCCGCCAGGGCAACGGCGCTCCCGACAAGCAGCCAGAAGACGTCGATGCTTCTTCGCACACGTACGAAGAAGCCGAGGCGGTGAGATGTCGCGCAGCGTACACGTCAGCAGGTAACCAGCGCTTTTAAGTCCGTCTTTTACAGTGGATATTTTTACAGGAAGACGATAGTCTTGTATCTTGCTATTGCTACCCTGGATGCAAGACTAGTATCGGGCCGTTAGCCCCTTTCCTTCGGCAGCCAAGAGCCCTTCCCCCGCCTATCTAAATTACCGCTACGGGGAAGTTGAGCGCCAGACTCCCCGGTAGCGGTAATTTACACCAGCGGGCGAAGGGCTCCTGCGGCCCGGAAAACGAGTTCTGGCTTTCAGGGTATGCTATTGCATACTTTTGTATCAGTATAGCCGGTATAATCTTCGGCGTAACACACCAGCTTCGCAGGCACGCGGCGCGGCAGCAGCTAGCTACATTACACCGAACGACTTGTTACACCCAATTTCTGTCTGCACATTTAATTGCAGGAGTTGTTTAAAGCTTTCTAGTGACGATGCCCCTGCGCTTGGTGGCAAAGAGTTCCAGTCTACAATAGTTCTTGGAAAATACGAGTTTTTGAACACCTCAATTCTTAATTGATAATTGTTTGAAGGCATGGCTGTTTCTTGTTTTTTCTGGGCTGATATCAGATACTTAGTGGTGGTTGCTGGCACGTCCACCATTTTATAATATTAGTCATTTATTACATCATGCATAGTCTGGACATTTTTCTGCCTTCCAGCAGCACCCACTGTAGGTTTCGTTTCATTTCGGTTACATGGCACTTACAAACCAGTAAAAAATTGATTCAAAATCTAAAAATGCTACAATTCACCTGTCTTACAGGTTCATGATACGCTCAAGTATTACCAGTACTTGTGTGGTGCAGCGGTAGTATATACATAAATCATGTGAATGAGGATGTCATGTGGCGTCGTGTGGCGTAGCGGCAGAGTGCGCGACTCGGAACTTAGAGTCCCGGGTTCGAGTCCTGACATGCCACCGATCTTGTGCCCTTGGGAAAGGCACTTTACACGACTTTCCTCACTTCGCTCAGGTGTAAATGAGTATTGTCCTGTCATGTATTTGTCCCCTGTGTTGGTGGCGGCATTAATATAAGTTGAAAAAACTTGAGTGTGTCGTCACCTCGTCTGGTGATTACATGTTGGAATAAAAAAAAAATGAGGATGTCAATTGCATAATGAATTTTGACAAAGAATAGAACTTATTTTCATAATGATTGGGGCAAAATAAGACATCAACATTTACAAAAGCTCTTAATATTGCATGGATGCATTATCTGAGGAATTTGGACCTTGGAATAGCGGATTGTCTTTTGCCTGTGTGTGTGCGTGCGCGCGCATGCGTATTGGTGGTCAGCATAACGTTAGTACTTAAGTCCAGAAGGGAGTGCTATTTTCCGGTAGATTATGCCAGATTATGCTGCGCTCACCTGGTGGCTTCATTCGGTGGTTATAGCAACTGACAATACTTTATCACACCATATTCACCTCGGGGCAGGTCATTAACCCTTAATTGAATATATAACTAACCGACGTTTTACATAGTTTCCCTTGTACGACTCGCGCGGCGCATGTTTGTAAAGCGATTATCAATATCATATTCCTCCATGCTGAACCACCACCGATACATCCGGGAACTTTTGATTATGCAATGCTCAAATACTTGAAGTCAACATTAACATTTTTGGCGAAAACAATAGGAGGCAATCACACTTATAAGCTCATTATTGAGAACTTACTTGCTTTACTTTGTTTGACCTGTGGCTTGGATACTATACTATCAGGATGTCTGATGCAGTGAGCTGCCAGTTTTATCGATACTTTTTGTTTTGATTTTCTCAACTTCACTTACAACGATACCTACAACGGGAATCGTCCGAAGGAGTGGGGACTATCCGGGATTGTTCCAATTCCAAAGAAAGGGGACCTTAGATCAGTGGACAATTATAGAGGCATTTCCTTATCACAGACTGCATGTAAAGTGTATAACAGTTGCCTGCTTAACAGGCAGGGTCCGTCCTATTATTATGGGTTCAGCACAAAGTGGTGAAACCATATTGTTTTTGCTGATGTTTCTTCTTCTTCTCCTCCCCCTCCTTCTCCTGCCATTTCTTTAAATGGATTCAGCTTCTTCATTTTGGGGCCTAAGGACCTGAAATTTGGTATGGAGGTACAGTAGGCAAATACCCCTAGGCTTTTATTTTTTTAATTTTTGTGCTACAGGCTTTTAGAATGGTTTTATCTGAGTTTTTTTTGGCTGTGTAATAGCTAATGTATTACTGTGTAAGTGTGCAGTGTTTACCACATTTGGGCATGACTCATCACAATGGCATGCAGGGCATCAATCAATAGTCATGCAGCTTTCCTCTATTCTCCTTGCTGATTGGCTGCTGGGATTTAACTGGCTTAACTTCATTTATACCTGCACAGAGCCATGCCATACTGACAGTATGTCTGTATTCAAGTGTTTTGGTAGGTATTTTAAGCTTTCCTGCTCCAGCATTGGAATGCGGGGCATGAACGCTAAAAAAAACAGAATCCAAAATAATAAGGGAAAATCCATTTTATTCCCTTTTTTTCGACTTCAGAATTAGAAAATGAAGTTCCTAATTTAGCTAAATCGCAGTGATTTTGGCTGGTTATTAAGGAATCCCAGAAACTTATATCTAGACATTCAGGACATATTGAGTCAAATGACTCACACAGAGTTTTTGATTATTCAGCCAAGTAGGGTGGAGTTCCGGAATTGGAAGGCAAAGATACATGGACTTTGAGTCAGATGACTCAAGACAGGGAGCTCTTGAGTCAGATGACTCAAGACAGAGAGCTCTTGAGTTAGATGACTCAAGACAGGGAGCTCTTGAGTCAGATGACTCAAGA